CATAAGGACAGTTTGATGAGAGATAGAGAAATCAAAGGAACACCGTAAGGTACGGTGCACTTAAGTGAAAAAATAGAAATTCGGATAATATAATAATAATTATTGTTATTTTATAATGGTTATAAAATAATAATAAAATAAATATATTTATTATAATAATAGTTATTATAATAATATATAATATTATTATGGATCATGTGAATTAGGGTTTTAGCCCGCAGCCCACAAGAGAGTCTATAAAAGGAACCCTTGTGATGAAGCTTTCACTTGATGCAATTTCGTTTTTGATTCTCTTTTTTCACTCAAATAATTCCGTTCGTAAGCAGCTAGCACTGTGACCGGAAGCTGTTCGTGTGGACTGAGTAGAGGCGTTGCACTTCATCAACGCTTGTGATCGCTGCATCAAAGATCTGAATCGCCACAAAGAGGTAACGATTCTATCACTGACCATGCTCATTCGTGAGGATCACTAAAGGAAAATTTTTGTTTTCCGCTGCGTTTAGATCGCGATTTTCCTTCATATATATATATATATATATATATATATATATATATATATATATATATATATATATATATATATATATATATATATATATATATATATATATATATATATATATATATATATATATATATATATATATATATATATATATATAACCTCGCCCTGATTGCTTGATAATTGCTTCTTTTGTTCTTGATGATGAAGAGTTTCTAAGTAATGAATTTCCAACAACTAAAAGATGTTTAAAATATAGTATAAGATTAGAAACTGAATATTGTAAATCCAAAAACAAAACAACAAGCCCTCATCAAAGACCCTTTGAGAGAGGAAATTCGAAGATAAACTATTTTTACAAGGCGAAGAGATGAGAGTCATTATTCGTTGAGATTTGTGAGGGATTAAATATAGGACTGGAGCGACTAGGGTTACAAATGTAGATAGAGAAGTTTGAGGAATGCCATCCTTATTACTTAAGTTGGTTCTTCAAACTGGGCCAAAACTTATGGGCCTTACATACATGGGTCTAACTATCTATGGTTATTCAGTCAGGTTCGGACACTGACAGTTGCAAATTATCAACCGAGCCCGGCCATATAAATCCGACAGCATCCGCTTCAGCCACTTCGTCATAAACGCCAAACCATTTTAATCCGATCGATGACATGTAAAAATATCGGACAGGTCAGTTTTTCGGTCGGGTGATGAAAACTTGTCCACCCCTACTACTTGGTAGTTATATAGAGCTTTTTGGTTACCATTTTACTTTCGCCCAATTTTACAAAAATAAAACGCATATCCATGTGAACAGGGTTTACACGAACCATCACAATCGATATGGATAGAAAGAGATCAAAATGTTCACATAGCCGCAAAATCTAGTGTAATAGCTCCATCAAAGAACCGAATAATACATTGTGGGATGTCCCATGCTTAATCACTTCCTCAATCGCGACGTACTCACTAAATCAATAACCGAACTCGTCGCCGAAAGTAGAAGCTACAAAACCCAAAATTTCCTCCAACTCATCCTCTCGGCTCAGCTTCCACCTTCCCATGGTGGCCTCTCCGCATCATATCTATACATATTCACCGAGTCCCCTTTCTCCGTCCACCGCCTAAAACAACTATCTTGCTCTCTCCTTTCATCTCACCCTAATCTTATTCACTTGACTTAATAATCATATTCTCCGTATATACGTCTAGCATTTCACCCATCTCTTCTTTAAAGACTTTATTCATCACCGTGTAATATGTGGCCTCGACATTCATTAGACTGAATGGCATGAGGTTTCATTTGTGGTTTTATTGTCCGATCCTGAAGGCATTTTTTTCTTTATCTGGATCGTACATTGAAATCTGGTTATTGTTGGAGGATGTGTCCATGAAGGACAAAAGATTATACCCTACGGAATCTTTAGGACACGCCTTGTTCGTGTTAGTGTAGATATACATTTGGTGAATGTATTTGCAATTGATTTTGATTTCTTAGGTGAATGTCTTCGACGTATCTACGATACATACTAGACACCGAGATATACATTCAACTGACGACATGCCACTTTGGGATTTATCTTGGTCATCTCATGGGGGAAGCAACTAAAAGCTAAGCATTGACTTTTAAACAATTCAAAAAATCCTTCTCTGACTACAACAGTTAGGGTGGCTCCTATATTCATAATTCTCAAAGGCTTACTATTCAGTCGGATGGCCTCAAAATGCCAACCTGGGTTGCTCTCAAGTTTTTCACTTTTAGTATGATTATTGGTTTCAATTCACTATGCAAGGAATGCTCTTCATCACGTACATCGAGGTCGGTTACACCTGTTGTCAGACTACTTTCTTTGAGGTATTTCTCCTAAATGTTGAAGGCGGAGGTAAATCTCTTCATGCTCACTTCTAGTATTCGACGAGCTCCAAAGAGGTTCACTTTGATCAGGACGGGCCTACCGGACTTGTCATGGTACTTTAACTTCAAATGTATTAGATATTCGACTGTGTCTAGTATGGCTAGGAACGAGCGTCCTAAGATGCCATTGTATTTTCTCCTAGGATCACAAAGAAGTTGATGTCCAATATCCTTCTCTCCTCTTCTTCTCCCAAGATGACAAACAGGTAGATCTGTCTGCAATAATGAGTGAATGGCTCATTAAAAGCGAGTAGACTTTTATCCTTACAAGGTTTCTGATCTTTTGGTCTTAGTCCAAGTTTAGCGAGGATTTCCAAATAGATCAATTATAGGAGCTTCTTTCATCCACTAGAACTTCAGAGACACAATGATTAACTATGGCAAAACTGATGATCAAGGGAATGTTGGAACAAAATTGGTTTGTACCATATCCCTTAGGTTTTGATGAAAATAAAGTATTTAAAGAACAATTGGGTATACTAATATTTGTTCAAGTGTGAAGGACCATAGACTAAAATTTCAGGAATAAACTAAGTATTGGTTCTGTTAGTGAACATCTAAAGAGAAACTTAAAAATTAGAAGCTAAAGGATCAGAAGCTGAAGACCGGACTCTAATGAGGTCAATGTATGAAGACTAGAATTTGAAGAAGTCAGCCTCTAAAGACGAGACTTTGAAGAAGTCTACTTTTGAAGATTAGAATTTGAAGCCAGTCAAAGTGTAAAGATCAAGTTTACTCTAATAGGTCACTATCAGACTCTGTCTATTTTGTCTTCTTTTGATCACGTGAAGACTTAAGCATAAAATTTGGTGAAAACATCTGAGATACAACAAATAATTCCTTTTGTAGAAAAAGGATCTCAAATGAGCTTTCATTGGTATTAACCATATCAAGAAACATCTCAACATTTATGAATCAATATTTGCAAATACTCTCTTGTGCAAACTCTCCAACGAGTTTTTGCCTTCTATATTTAAGAAGTTGAAGACTTGAAGAACAATAACGAACCATTGACATTCAAAGAGCAGTTACTCTGTCAAAATATAAGCACAAGTTTAACTTAGGATTTCTTATTCTTGTATATCTTAGAAATCTCTAAGTCTTAAAGAGTTTCATAGTATTGTATTTTGTCTACACCTCTGATTATATAAAGTGTATTACCCTAAACAATCTTTTGTCTGTTTGGTAGATTGTTATAAGTCTCTTACTTAGTGTTTGAGCATTGGAAATCTCTTGCTTGTATGCTTGAGCATCTGAAGAGTCTTGCTTGTGTGCTTCATTATAAGTCTCTTACTTTGTGTTTGAGCATTGAAAGTCTCTTACTTGTGTGCTTGAGCATTAGAAGTATCTTACTTGGTGTTTGAGCATTGGAAGTTTCATGGTTGTGTACTTTAACAAATTGTAATCTTGTGTGATTATAGTGAAATCCCTTGGAAGTGTAAGGGGATTGGATTACTCTCGACTTGTGATAGGAACCAAGATAACTTTGAGTGTCTTCTTATTTCATCCTTTATCTACTTATCACTCACCTCTGATTCAGACTATAGACTTTGTGTTTAAAATTTGACTTGAGTTTTAAAAAGAAAGAAAAAGTCTACCACAATTCAACCTTCATTTTTTGTGTTTTTTCACCTTCATGGAAAATCTATATTAAGGATTCCATCTGCTTTTTCTTCATCTAGAAACCCTATAACTGGTCTTCCATCTCATTGTCCTCCACTTGCCAATATGTCTCCCCTTGAGGCTGACAAGAGAGGTCCAGTTTGATTAGATGGATCTTCTCCAGCGACATCAATAAGGAGTTCTAGGATGTCGTCTAGCTCAGGAACATCCAGAATCGTAACCATTTGGTGCGACTGTTGAATTTGTAGAGATTTGGAATGAAAATGTTTGGTAGTGAAATTTAGTAAGAATGAAATATCGATTCCCACAAATGACGTCGTTGTTCCATTAAGGAACGAGAGTTGGGGGAATAGGTCCTGATGCTCATGACGATGCTCGTAGCTCCGGTGTTAAGGCGAAGGTAAACTTGCAAGATCACCACTCCAACATCTAAGTTAGTTTGTGAAATTACTTAAAGTAGAGTATAATTTTAAAAAGCAAATCTCATACTTACTTTGATGTAAAAGAAGAATATTGAATATTTACATTGATGATTGACTCTCTTTTTTTATTTATATTTTTTATCTTAAATCTGGTCCAAATAAGATACGATAAAAGAAAATTAAATAAATATGTGAGAGTGGTAAATAATGAAATAACTAAATTTTAAACATTTTTTATTTCCCTATACTCATTTAGTAATTGTTTTTCCATCCATTAATCTGGTTTCATCAAATTAGTAACATATACATTACTCTATTATTTACTTTTCTTTTAAAGTTATTTTTCATTTCTTTCACATTTAAAATGATATTTTTAAATATTGTTTGTGTATATTTTGCCACCACTTGATAGTTATATAGAGCTGTTTGGTTACCATTTTGTTTTCCCCCGATTTTACGAAAAACAAAACCCAAAACCCATATCCATGTGAATAGGGTTTACAGGAACCATCGCAATCGGTATGAATAGAAAGAGATCAAAATGTTCACACAGCCGCAGAATCTAGTGCAGCAGCTCCATCAAAGAACCGAAAAATGCACCGTGGGATGTCCCGTGCTTGATCGCTGCCTCAACGGCGGCGTACCGACTAAATCAATAACCGAACTCGTCGCCGAAAGCGGAAGCGGCAAAACCCAAATCTGCCTCCAACTCGTCCTCTCTGCTCAGCTTCCACCTTCCCACGGCGGCCTCTCCGCCTCATCTCTCTACATATTCACCGAGTCGCCTTTCCCCGTCCGCCGCCTAAAACAACTCTCCCGCTTTCTCCTTTCATCTCACCCCGGTCTTCTCAGCTCCGATCCTCTCTCCCGCGTCTTCCTCCGTGGGATTTATTCCGCTGAGAATTTCGTTAACTTATTACCAGACATTGAGATTTTTCTTACTTACTGGAAATCACGATTGTTACCTGTTAGGGTAATCGTTGTTGATTCTATTGCTGCTTTGTTTAGATCTGAATTTGATAACACTAGATTCGATCTTAGGCGTAGGTCGTCGCTGTTTTTCAAGATTTCTGGTGGGTTGAAATCGTTGGCGGAGAGGTTTGGGTTGGTTGTGGTTGTTACGAATCAAGTTGTTGATTTGATGAGTGAGGGTGAGAATGGAGTGAGAATTGGGAATTTGAGTGAGATGTATTCGTCGGGGCGAAGGGTTTGCCCGGCGTTGGGTCTTTCGTGGGCGAATTGTGTGAATTCTAGAATGTTCTTATCGAGGGATGAATATGGGGAAAGTAAAAGGAGAAGGATGAGTGTTGTTTTTGCTCCTCATTTGGGTGAATGTTGTTCTGAGTTTGTTATTACAGGAGATGGTGTTTTTGGTGTAGAGATGATGGTGCAAAGGAATGTATGAATGGTTGTTTTTATGTGCTTTTATTTTATAGATGATAATTCAAAAGTGTATGTATGTATGTATTGTACAATAGAATAGGATAGAAAAGAAGGTTGTTCAATGTTTTGATTGCTCATTCTCCTAAATAGTCAAGCAAGCATTGCATCGTTTCTCCTCAACAGCGATAACTAATTCCCTCAACACTGTTAAGTCTCTAAACCAATCTGATTCATTTTATAAAACTTCAAAGATAGTATATTTTTTTAATGCTCATTTGGATCCAACATGTAACAATATGTGGTACTATTATAATACTTAAAATACAATTCTAGTTATGTATAAGAATTTAATGATTATTTCTAGTGTGAGCTTGATGATGGGTTAGCAAAAAGATTAAAGTTTCTGTATAACATAATTCCCTTTGTTTACATATCTTTGTGGGGCCTAATGGAATATTTATTGACATTGAACAAATCAAATTCTCCTTCTATTCCTCTACAGGCTTGTTTCATGGATTTTGTACAATCATGTGCTTACTATCATACCTTATTTTTTAATTGGGGTACTTGTCGTTAGAATTATAACTCTCAATCCTGATGTATTTTGTTACAAATGGTATCAATAATCCTTTGAACTTGGGCAATGACAACCCAGAATCATTACCAATCGCTTAGCGCAAATGAGTTCCAATCTATCTTGCCTAGACATGCTCGAACGTACATACAAGCTCAGAACATGACCACCACAAAGTGTTATTCGATCCAAACAACTCCTTATTAGGTGGTGTATGGCCAACAACCACCCATTCATCTTCCCTATATACCAAGTGAATCTAATAACTTAACAATGGTTCGGTCCTTGGCAGCTTGAGAGGCCACCATCCAAATTTTGATGTTTCACTTGTTGTGTGCTCAGATTATGATGATACATCAAGCTTATAAACATACAAGTGACAGAAGGCTTGCAATTGATGACTTTGTTTTTCTATAACTACAACCATACATGCAGATTTCCATACTTCACAAACGCTTCTACAAGTTTTATGGTCCATTTAAAGTCATAGATCACATTGGTGCATCATCTTACCAACTTGAACTGCCGAAATCCACAATGTCTATCATGTGTCGCAGTCAAGTGCAACAATTACCAGACACTATGCCCACTACTACGATTAGAGGGGAACCTTCAACAATTTTAGACAGAAAAATGGTCATAAGAGGCAGTGTTGCAACCACTAAGGTGCTGGTGCCGTGGGAGAATTTTCCCATAGAAAAAGTGACATGGGAGTTTTATTATGATTTGCTACAACAGTCCCCAAACTTTCACCTTTGAGGTCAAGGGTGTTCTTGGAAGGGAGGATATTGTAAGTTGTAACAGCATACGTTGTTATTATTATAATGCCTAAAATACAATTCTAGTTATGCTTAATGATTTAATTGTCATTTAACTTATATTGTGTTTATTGATGTTTTAGTTATAAGATAAACGTTTCTTTGTAACAAAATTATCTTTGTTTACATATCCCTTGGTGAGACTTAATGAGATATTCATTGACGTTGAGCAAGTCAATTTTTCATTCTTCTATTTATTCTATTCATCTACAAGTGTCATGGAATTTGTACAATCTTGCGCTTACTAACACCAAGCTTTATTCCTAAATTAGTGTTGAAATATTGATCCTTATTGATAATAGAGCAATATATTAGTAGTCCATAAATTTGTGATAGAAGTTTTCTCTTTTAGCTTTTTTTCATAAGTTTGTTATAATTGTTTCCATATATAAAAAGTTGTTAGGGTTGTTAATAGGTGGTTAGAGTAAACTGTTATGAAAATTACAAATTGATCCAATATATATACTTGTATGACATTACTCATACTCATACAACACAACAGTTGAGGCAATTCCTGCAAAACCCTAGTCAAATACATTATCATACATCATGCAGAGTTGTTAGATATTTGAAAAGAAATCCTGACAGAGATTTGCTATTTTCTAGAACTTCAAGTTCTCAAATTCTTGGATATTATAACGTAGATTGGGCAAGTTGTGTTGATTTAAGGAGATCCACATCGGGATATTGCTTTTTCATATAATCATCTCTAGTATCATGGAAAGCTAAGAAGCAACAAACCGTTGTGAAGTCTTCATCTAAAGCGGAGTACAGAGCTTGAATCAGCTACTTGTGAGTTAACTTGGTTGCTTTATATTCTAAAGGATCTTCATATTACATGTTGCAAACCACCAGTTCTATACTATGACACTCAAAGTGTCATACATATAGCTTCATATCTTGTTTTCTATGAAAAAACAAAACATATTGAGATCGATTGTCATCTTGTATGAGAAAAGATCAAGCAAGGTGTCCTCAAGTTACTGCCTATAACTTCACAGGAGCAGCTGATTGACTTTCTCACGAAGCCATCGATAACAAGCAAGTTTCAAAAGTGTAAGAACAAGAGTGGTTCTACATTTCGTCTTAAACTTTGATGATAACTGCACATGCTATCTTAGAGAACAATTCGGTACTTTATGGTTTCTATCTAGTGTGTAGCTTTTGCTGAATAAGATATGAATTTGATAGAAAAGTGTGTGACATCATCAGACTCTAATCTAAACACTTTGGAAGAAAACATATGTTGTGTACAAGTTAAAGTCAATATTCAGGAATGCCTTTTAATACGACGGTTCTAAAGAACGTTTGCACTAAAGCTTCTAAGCCTTGAAGGCTTTCTAAAAGATGTGCTTCTATCGCTACAAGTTCTGAAGTTTCTGAAGACAATGTTCTGTTGAACGAAGTTTTGAAGATTCTAAAGACATCATTTCTGAAGACAAGGTTCTGTGAACGAAGTTCTGAAGATTCTAAAGACATCATTTTTTAAGTTCAAGTTCTGAAGTTTCTGAAGACAAGGTTCTTTTGAATGAAGTTTTGAAGATTCTAAAGACATCATTTATGAAGTCCAAGTTCTAAAGACTTTGAAGACAAGGTTCTGTTGAACGAAGTTCTGAAGACTAAGAAGACAATATGCGCTAAAAAGGTTCTGAAGATTCTAAAGACAAGGCTCTGTTGAATAAGCTCTGAAGTCTTTAAAGAAATCACTTCTAAAGACCAAGTGTTGAAGACTCTTAAGATAGTTATACTGAATGGAGATCTGAGATTCTAAAGACTTAGGTTCTGGAGTTACAAGTATTGATCTTTCTACACATGCTTCATCAAATATACATCTGAAGCCTCTGAAGATTAGAAGACAGAAGATCAAGAATAGTTTGCGTGTTTCAATAAATATAAAAGTACAAAGTAGTTTGTGACCTCTACCTAAAATAGGTACCACAAGGACAACTCTGTTGTATTATGATGTGACCATTCCTTTAGTGAACGTTGGGAAGTTACAGTTGGAATATGTTCCCTATTATACCCTTCAACAGATCTATTCTTTAGCACTATATATTGAAGATCTGAATGCTTGAAGAAAAAGCATAGACATGCAGAGAGCAAAAAAGCAAGAGCGCATAAATGCTGTAAGCGAAATGTTGTGCCAAAGTGCTTAATGTTGCGGTACCAAAAAGCCAGAAGAGCTAAAGAAATGAAAAAAAAAAAAAGAGAATAACAATAAGAAGATAAAGAGTTGAAGAAAACACGAGAGTATGTGTGCAAGGGGGAAGCATAACACTAAGTTGTAAGCTCAAAAGAAGATACTTGAAGCTCAACCAAAATAGAGCGCCACTCTACATGAAAAAGAGAAAAGCATTAAAAGAAGCTTTCTAAGCTCAACAAAACTTATGTTGTTACGATGCAAATCTATAGGAGATTATTCTTAAGATAGTTTTGTAAATTAGCAAGGAGTTGTTATTCATATCTTGCTAGAAAACACTTTTGTGTTGTTGTACTTCAACTTGTGTCATCTGCTTGTTTTGAAGCAATTCTTGTACACACTTGTAACACTTTTCAAAGTGAAGATTCTTCAAGTGACTAAGTCGTTAGTCTAGATACTTGAGAGGACTAAGTTGTTGTCTAACACTTAGAGGTTGTAATTTATTGAGATTACTGGATTAAGTCCTTGTCTAAGACAAAATCACCTTTGTGGATGGACTGGCGTAACTTTGTTAACGCTGAACTAGGATAAAAATAATCGTGTCTATTTATTTTTATTCTCTTGTTAGAATTGAAGTTTGAATTTTCGAAAAAGATCATATTAGGTGAAACCCAATTCAAACCCCCTTTCTTGTGTTTCTCACCCATTCAATTGATATCAGAGCTCTGGTTCTGGTATTGATGTTTATCAAACATTTAACTGTGCAGATAAAGATATAGACGAGCTTTAAGAAACACCTTGATGGTTTCCACTCCACCACCCATTGTTCCAGTCTCAAATGTTCTTAGTTCTATCTTCCACCATTGTTGGTGAAAAGTTTGAATACTGGAAAGCTGAATTAGAAGGTTCTTCATAAAATGGTGATATTGATCTTTGGAATATGGTAGTTGATAACTGCATATCTCTCTCAGGTGAAGATGGTAAAAGGCTGAAAGCAAATCTGAATGATCAGTTGGAAAATGATGAAAATAATCATCAAAAAGCAAGAAGCTCCTTGTTTGCTGAAAGATAATTCTTACTAAGTACATGATGTTTTCAAATAACAGGTTTCTAAGTCTATTTGAATTTCTCAATAACTTATTAAGAACTCTTTTTAGTCAAGGAAACAAATGCTCGTGTTTTGATTCTGAAGCACGAAGACTTCAAGATGAAGAATGTTGAAATCTCTTGAAGAAGACTACCAGAAGCTTGCCATTCGGACATAAGCTTATAAGTAACCACTTCCCAGTTACAGAAGATCTGACTAACGTTCTCTAGAATAATTGGTGAGTTCGTTTTGATAAGTCATGAAGATTAAGCTATAATAGTTTAAGAGGAAATTTGTTATGCTCACATTTATTAGAAGATCTAAGAATACCAGAAGTTCATCAGTTAAAGAAATCAAGAATTACGAAGAAGATGAAGATTGTGTGTCACTCTATCCAGAATGACTAATATCATCTCTTGAAGAATAATCATTGCAACAGACTCAAAGGAACTAGATGTTCTACTAAGTTTGTTTTGAGTTCACCTTAAGCCAAGTAAGAAGCTTTGATAAGCAAGAAGAAAAGGCTGAAAGGTAACATATGATGATTCTGAGTTCTCAAAAGATGTTGAAGATGAAGATCAAGCTAATGTAGCATCATGTGCTAGCGTTAGAACATCTGATGAAGAAGATCCCTCCAGAAGATGAAGTAGTTTCTAATTCGGCAGAAATCATCTCTGTTGCATAAGTTCTCAGCAGTGCAGCTGAAGCACGGTACATGTTTCAAAGCCTGGAACTTAAGCCTACAGACAATGATTTTAAGAAGTGATCAAAAGAAAAATAATAATTGGTTTCAGAACAGATACCCCTTGGAGTTTATGTACATTGACATATCCGATCTAATCAAATACCACGGTATGAAGTATTGGATCAGTTACTGTTAGTAACATAGGATATGCATGGGTAAAAAATCTTCACACAAGGATGAATCCTTCTATGTTCTTTACTCTCAAATGCACATATGAAAGTCTCATTGGAACTCATTGGAACTCCTCAATTGTAGTGGCATAGTTGCCTTATGTATAATATACACATCCATTCTTCTTATGGATGTCATAGATAAAATCTTTGTTTACATTTTTTTAATGTGCAACTCTTTTTGTGGCCCAAACCATTTTGTGATTGATTTTTTTTCACCCTATTTTGATATTTAGAATTGTTTTGAGATCTGTGATCTAAAATCACAATTGTAAAATCTAAAGAGGAAAGACAATGACATAGCCACCTATTATAATGAATTGATGACTATTTGAAAAACATTACAATTTAAAATCAAAGACAATTTATGTCCACCACCAAGATAATTTTAGGACTCGTGATGTCCTTAAATTTGAAACCAACAAATAATATTACTCTAACTCAACATCATCCAAGGGACGAAACACATCAAACTAAGGAAGTCTTTTACATGTGAGGTAACTCTATTGAGAACTTTCAACTAAAACCCATTTTCTTTGATAAATTCTACTACTTAACCACATCCTAGAAGAAGGTTCCAATCAAAGTCGTATAAAGTTTTAGGAGGTCATGTGTAGGTTAACTATAGTTCAACTGTGGCAAAATAAATATGGACCTTATTTTTCCAAGCTTTAACTGTGATAAGTATTTATGAGTTCCTATTTAACCATGGTTCATTCGTGGAAAATTTTAGACCATGTGCGGTAGTTCGCCTTGCAAACCCTCAAAACACTAGTTCCAATCAACCATAGATAATACATAATGTCTTAAATTAATCCATCATCTAACTTATTAAACTAAAGGATTATGGGTCATCTATTTAGGAATGAGCCAAAACCATTTTCGTCAAGTAACATGTCTCCACTAAGGAGACAGACCACTATAGACCATTCTATGGGCATGCTAGAAAGCACCCCCTAGTAAGGTTGAAAAGAAGATCATAATCGTACAAAAAAGAATCACATCATGATATGCCTACAAATATCCTTAAAGACAAATGATTAATTAGGGTTTTCATTCTAAAAACTTTAATTCTCCTTCTACATATGCTAACACGTGACTCGAATCAAGATGCTTATTCTATAAACCATAACAATGATACTCACACTCAATCATTAAATTTATCGTTAAAGTATTTACAAGTATAACATTCCTTTTGTGGAGCAACCATATGCCCCTGCCTCTCTACCGCCATTGATCTAAGTCAAATTCAGATAAATATTTATTATGGATTACAAGAATTTAAATAAATTATTTAAAGATAAATTAGCAGATGAATAATGTGAAAGAGTTGCGTTTACCAAAACTTTAGAGGATAACTAATAAATAGAAATAAAGAACCAAAGTGAAAAATAAGTTGTATTTTTGGCTATATCATATATGGTAGGAAACAACATTATAGGTAATTGGGTTTGAATAATCTAGAATGTGCAGCAAGTTTTTTTTGGGTTTGACGAGGTTTGGTGAGTGTGGTGACTCGTACCAGGGGTGGTAAAATAGGTCAGACCAACCAGACCTGTTTGTTTAAATCATAATATTTGGTGGGTTGAGGCAAAACATTGAACATTCTCCCTCTCCTCTAATCGTCCCTACACGCCCCGTTTTTGGTGAGGGGAAGTCTAAACAAGGTGAGCATACATATACGCTTCACAATACATTGTAAGGATGACAAAACGAGTCAAGTGTGCTAGATAAATCCATTATATTTTGTTACGATCTTTTGGATGTCCGCTCTCTATTTTGGCTATCATGTCCAATGTTTGGCACACTACCAACAATTTGATCATGTTAACTCGATTAACATATATACTTTAATGGGTGGACAAAAAAGTCAATAATAATAATCCAATTTTTTTTTGTCCAAATCATGCATGTGACTATCTATTCTGTCAGTTTTTTTCTTCAAAATAACTATCTTTCTCAACTTTATTTTCAAACTAACCATGTTTCCCAATCATATACTAAACTACACATGTTTCAAGCAAAAAAAATCGCATTAAAGAGCATGTGTCATCCGTCACATAAATTGGTGCTAATGTATGAATGCTATATGCATGTGCAAGTTCCATTGACGCCTATATGCACTTTTTATATGCATGTGTCATTTGGTCTGACGCTAATGTGTATTCATTTTTATTTTATTTGTTATATGCATGCGTCAATTGATCTGACGTCTAAAAACAAATTTGAAAACAAGCACCAATTAGTTTGATACATGTTCTTTTGTGCGTTTTTTTTTTGTTTAAAACATGAATAATTGATATATAGTTGAAAAATGTAATTATTTTATAATTTAAATTAGAAAATATGATTATTAAAAAAAAAACATTTTGTCAAGTACTTCTTGTTATTTGACTAAATAATTGTCAAATTATGTATGTGTTTTTTTACTTAGTTTATTTTCAGTGATTGACTTTTAAATTTCTGAATTTTTTCTTTGAATCAATCATTTGCATTACATTATGTTGTATTGCCAGCCTTTTTTAATAAGTATCGCTAAAAGAAACATTTGCAACATTTTAACTGAGACAACATACACAAATAGGTTAATTTTGTTATATTTTTCTTTCTCTTCACTTCTTTTATTTTTTAAATTTAATTTCAAAAAGCTTATAACTAGAGTATTTATTTATTTTCAACAATTAATTCATTTCGGACGAACTGAAGCTGAAATTCACCACCATGTCAACAGCTACTCAAGTGGTGGTTCTCGACAACGGCGGAGGTCTAATCAAAGCCGGCTTCGGCGGCGAACGTGACCCATCCGCCATTCTCCCCAACTGTCTCCACAAACCCCTCGCCTCCAAAAAATGGCTCCACCCAAATCCCCTAAACACCCCCGCCTCCGCCGAACAAGACCTCACCTCCGCCTCCGTCCGCCGTCCCATGGATCGCGGCTACTTAATAAACCCCGACCTCCAACGCGAAATCTGGTCCCACCTCTTCACCTCCATCCTCCGCATAAACCCTTCCCAATCCTCTCTCCTCCTCACCGAACCCCTCTTCTCTCTCCCCTCAATCCAACACTCCCTCGATGAACTCGTCTTCGAAGATTTCAACTTCACCTCCCTCTACGTCGCCGACTCTCCCTCCTTAGTTCATCTCTACGAAACCAGCCGTAGCCCCAACGGCCTTCTCTCCAAAGCCCAATGCAGTCTCGTCGTCGATTGCGGTTTCTCCTTCACACACGCTTCGCCTGTATTCCAAAACTTCACTCTTAACTACGCTGTCAAGAGAATCGATTTAGGTGGTAAAGCCCTAACGAACTACCTCAAGGAGCTTATCTCTTTTCGCTCTGTTAATGTCATGGATGAAACCTTCATCATTGATGATGTTAAGGAGAATCTCTGCTTTGTTTCCGTCGATGTCCCGAGACACCTTAACATTGCTAGAAAGAGTGGAAAAGATAATCTTTTGAGGTGTACTTATGTTCTTCCTGATGGTGTTGCGCACACTAAGGGGTTTGTTAAATATCCGGAACAAGCTAACAGGTATCTTGCTGATGGTAAGGAAATGAAGGAGAATGTCGATGATCACGAGGAAATTCTTCAACAACAACATGAGAACAATAGACAGAAAGTTGATTTGACGAAAAATGTATTTGTTTTTGTTTGAATTTTTTGTTTTTAGTTAGCATTTCTCTGTGTCTGTCTTGGTAACTTTTTCTTGCTTTTTTTGTGGTTTGTGTTCTCTAGGAATTTGACTTGACCAATGAACGGTTTCTTGTCCCGGAGATGATTTTCCGTCCCGCCGATTTGGGTATGTTCTTATTAGTAGCTTCAATTTAGTGCTATTTTCAAATTAGAATAGATTATATACATAGCATTATCTCATTAATGTTTTGTCATTTTTGGTTCTTGAAATTGCAAAATTTGTATTCAAATGGGGAAGATGTGTCAGTGGTTGTGATGTGTATATGGAAAGTACCTATAAATCCTTCCTATTGTAGTTGAAATCATGGTTGTAGACTGCAATATAGAATATTGGAATTTTAGTTAAAATTTTGGTTGATGAGTTTCTTAAGTGACTCAAATGAGGATCTTTGTCTAATTTCACTATTTATTTACCTCTTAATATCAGGTTTTACTTGTGTTCTCTGCAAAATGCTGAACAAAATGATTTGCAGGAATGAACCAGGCTGGGCTACCAGATTGTATTGTACGAGCAGTAAATGCCTGCCATCCGCACCTTCACCCCGTACTCTATGAAAGGTAATTACCATTTGATTTCATGATCCTGTTTCTGGATTGTTGCCTTTTTGTTTTACTTCTCACACTCATCTTTGATGTGTGTTTATGATTTTTGTCAGCATCATTTTAACTGGTGGAAGCACCTTGTTTCCTCATTTTGCTGAGAGACTGTAAGTTTCAAGTTTGGTTTGGCAATTTTGCCTTTTTTGGAGACCCCCATTTGTTGCCACTTTGGTGTCCTAGCTTTTCAATTCCCTGTATAGCACCTATTACAAATTTAATTAATTGATTATGAAATTTTGTAGAGAGAAGGAGCTTCGGCCTCTAGTTCCTGATGACTATGATGTGAAGATAACTACACAAGAAGAGTAATCATCTTTCATAGTCTGTTTAGTTTCTTGTTAGTTTGTCATTTCTACACAATAACTTACGGTTCTTCTATAGTCCGCTATTAGGTGTTTGGCGTGGAGGGTCTCTCCTGGCATCGAGTCCAGATTTTGATTCAATGTGCGTGACTAAGGCTGAGTATGAGGAGCTTGGTTCTGCTAGATGTCGCAAGAGATTTTTTCATTGATAATGCATGCTACAAATGCAGATATGCAAATATGTGCACACTAACATGTACTGTTTAGTTGTTGAGATTCCTACAGCTAATCCACACAAGTGACACTTAAGGAAAGATTGCCAATGCAGCAAGTATGCAAATGGAGTCGCTCCAGATTCTTGGAACAAAGGTCTGAAGTTTGGACGACATACACTTTTTCAAGCATCATGATGCTGGCCGACTGGTATTGGACCTGTTTCCGAAGGATGGTAACTTCCATCGCAAGTATGGCGTGCTTTTGAATTGCCAACTAGGGCCTATCTCTTACAAAATCACCATTGAAGGATGGTAACTATGTTTCTTTTAAATTATTGTTACAAAAATCCAATTGTCTCTGTTAAAACAGTCAATTAGGGAAAAAAATAACAATTTTATAGTGAGTTAGGTAGGAATTAAGCTGTTTCAATTTATTATTAGTAATTAAAAAAATGCTTTACTTATTTTTAATGATTCTAATGCATCTCTAAATTTTTCTTGGGAATTAAAAATGTATTTTTTACTCTAATTTTTATTCACAATTTTAATATATTAGTGTATTTTTACACAAACTAGTGTGTATTGAAAACAAATCTTCTGCTGTCCACATGACCTGCCACCCCCTCATGTTTCTAATTCAATGAATAAAAAGGCCATAAGAAAAATAAAAAACAAATGAGTCTTGAAGAGAGAATCATCATTTTGGATAGTATTTTTTGTCATCTTATTTAGAATTAGTACTCCCTTACTCCCTCCAACTCATAAAAAATATCATAGTTCATTTTAATAAAATGATTAGATCAATTGATTTTAATAATAAAATAAATATTTTTATTAGAATATTTTTATTGATTATACTCCTCCGTGTCCCATTTTATAAGATATTTTGAATTTTCACAGAAATTAAGAAAACTTGTTGTAGAAAGAAAAATTATTATAATATAGAAAAGAATTAAAAGAAAAAATAGTAATAAATGATAGAAGATATATTAAAAAAAATTATTTATGTTGAGTGATGTAGTTGAATAAAATAAAAGTTAATAAATAGAGAAATAATAGTAAAACTATTTTGTGATAAAATATTTAAATGAGACATATTTTATGATGGAGTATAATTGGATGGTGACACTGACCGGACATGTAAGTAAAATATGCATAAAATGTTATCATAGTTGTGTGTAAACTATGTACATTTAAAAAAAAAAAAAAAAACTAATTATACTTGTTAGAAAACAAAAGTAAATAACATTGTATAAAGTATACAATTTCGTATAAAAAGATCATTTACTTTGTTTTAAAATATGAGAGTTTTTTTTTTCCACCCAAGTTGTTTCTCATCTCCCATGTGAATTTTGATATATGTTTTTTGATTTTGAAAATATATTTTCAGAATTATTTTAAACATTCAAAATATGTTATTCATATACCATTTATATTTGAATTGTTTTGGAGATGTGTTTTCAATAATTTTTTGGAGATACATTTTCGAATGTATAAGAACAAGTTGTTTTTTATTATAAGTTGTTTATTTGTTTTCAGACAAACTATGAAGCACGATCTCAAATAATAATAAAATAGACATAAAAAATGATAAGACACAAATACAGAATGAAGTATATCAATATATGTAGAAAATGTCGTACAATATAGATCTAAATGTGATAAAACCATAAAAATAAAGTATAGAGTATAATAATACAACAAAATAATAACAAACTAAATTGGGTGTGCATGACAACATCTCATCTGCCTCCTCGGCTATCAATTCCGCCGTCCTCCAGCGATGTATCTGGTACAACAGTGCCCCATGTGCCTCTACCACCATGACATTCAGGACTCACTTGACAGCAGACCCTTTAGAGAAGATACCCTCATCAATGTCTGTCCGCGTAATCTCCACTATGCGACGACACTGAGGCAAGACATCATCAGTATGATCTAGCTGAGCATTCTCCTCCTCAAGTATCTCCTAATGAGCTGGTCTCAACGGATCTCTTAGAGCAGTCTGCACTATGTACGAATGTGACACCCTGTAGAACCACCTGATGTATCCGTCGACGTAACTCCAGTCGTTCGACGATGTGGTAGCTCATGCCTCGTCCAGTACCAGATGACTCTCATAATACGCAAACATCTCGTCTATCTGTCTACGAGATAAGGCAGAAGGAGCATAAACAACAGGGTGTCTGCAGGAAATTTCGGAGATACATCTTCGGAAATACCATACAACAATAACTTTAAATAATTCTGGAAATGCATCTCTAGAAACACCTCAATACTAATAACTTTGAAGAGTTTCATAAATACATCTTCGAAAATTCGCAAAGTATATGCAACACTGAACTATTTCGAAGATGTATCTCCGAAAAGTTCTGCAACTCAGAGGTTGCATCAATGTCGTAACGTGGCTCATGCAAGTTGAAAAAATATCATCTGATTACCATTTTTAGCCAACAAACAAATCATACACTAAGTCTAAATTATGTTACATTCGATTCCTACATATTTATACCTCTAATCATTGATTTCTGGACATTTACACTAAAACTCGAATATTTATCGAAAACTCGAAAATTTGCCTAAAATTTATGGTTTTGATGATGTTGAATAATGTTTGATGTTCCTTTGAGTCTTGTTTGATGAAATTTGATGTTGTGAAATTGAAGTGTATTGAGAAGATTTTTTGGTGTGTTTGAGGGTGTGTGAAAACTGTGAAATGACGGAGGAGAAGAGTCTAGCGTGATTTATATTTCAAATTATTTCGAAGATATATCTCCAAAATATTTCAATGTTCACCGAACCTTGGGTGCGTTCGGATATGTATCTCTGAAATCAGGAGACATATGTGAAATTTCACATGGTGCGGTAGAAATACATAGGATGCATTAAGAAATTCACTAAAATATTATAGTTAGAATTGATATGTGATAAGTAGGGCTCAAAAGCTTCACAAGTCTAAATTGCAGTTAAAATTTTAAGGTCCATTTACGTCTATTTTTAAGAGGATTTTTTAATACATCCCTATGTTTCTTAGGTACCGTGTAGAAATATTAAAATGTTCTTCAGATTTTTAAAATGCATCTTCAAATACATTAAATATACAATTTAATTCGTTTTCGAATCAAATTTTAATTTTATGAACAAATTTATTTAAAAAATTTTTAAAAATGTATATCCAAAAATATTAATAGATATTAATTTTTTTTTAGTTGGAACATATTGATAGATGTTGATTATTATTTTTAGTTGGCACATGTTGATAGATATGTAGTATTAGCTAGGATATTTTTTTATGATGGCATGTTCAGTAATCTCATACATTAAAGTTTTTTATTTATTATTCTTATAAATTAAAGATAATTAAAACATTTTTTCTAAGTTAAACAATATTTTATCACTTTTTCTCCCATGTGCTCTAACAGTAACCTTCTGCTTTGTTACAGTTTTCAAATCATTTGTTATCAACAATAGATATTATCAAATTATAGTTTTCAATTTCAAGTTATAATTTACAATTTCAAATCACTTTATTACAGTTTTAAATTTCAAATTATCAACAATAGATATTATAATATTTAATAGTACTATATTAGATCTAATCATTAAAAAAGTACAAATGTTTCTTTCAGATATAATTAATATCGCAGATAAGAAGACATAAACTTATAGTACGAGTATGTACTTAGTTAATTTTAATAGATTTCGAAAATATATTTTTAAAAATATTTTGGAAATATATTTTTAAAATAAATTAATTTATAAAATTAGAATGTAATTGAAAAACAATTAAAATGTGTGTATTGAAATATTTTTAGAGATATATTTTGTAAAATTAAAAATATTTTAATATTTTTGTGTGGTGTTTAAGAAACATATAAGATGTATTAAAAATAATAATTATTTTTAGAGACGGTTTAAATAGATTTAATTAGAATGAATCGCGGGTTAATTAGTCGTATTTGATCCAATAATACATTTGAACATTTTTCAAAAATAAAATATTTTTGCAATGATTTTAAAATTTCATCTAACAAATTTTATATATTAGTAAAAACAAATTATCTCAGGCAAAGTAATGAAAAATTCAATATTTTTTTCAATTTTTATACACCGAATTTAATATACAAATTCAAATTTCTAAAATTTCAAATACACATTCTTTATCTGAATCTAAACCAAACAAATTAAATGGACACTACAAATGAAAACCAATTCAAATTACTACGATATTGAAAATAATAAAAAATATTTCATTTTTCCAGCAATTTTGGATCAATCACAGTACACTCTGCAATTAAAAAAAATTATAAACAACAAATAGTATATGTAAAATGAAGATGAGCTTTTATAAAATATTATTAAAAAACTAAATAAAAAATTTAATTGAAATATAAAATTAAGTCTATTAATATATTTTAAAAAATAAATAATAAATAAATAGAAAAATAGGCGGGAGTCCGTCAACAAGGTCGGTCCAACACATCTCAAGTCTTAAAACGAAATTTAAAAGTAAATATTTTTAATATAATATTTTTTTTTTTAAATTAATGTATTTTATATTTTTTAGAATTTAAAATTATTAATTTATTATAATCAATTTTATTTAATATTTTATATTCGATTGATAAAAAAATTTACTCATTTAAACACTCTTCTTATCATTTAAAAAAATTATAATTTAAAATAAAATGTCAAAATTTTAAAAAAATACTTTCATATCAAGTCTCTTATTATTATAAAAAACTCAAAAAGATTTATCAATTCGTGTGATTTTTAAATTAAGAAATCAAACAATACATATTATACATATATAAATAATTATGATTATTGTACATTTTAGATAAATACTATTATTTAATTAATATATAAAATAATTTATTTAAAAAAAAATTGGTTATAGTCATATAAATAAAAGAAAAAAATTAAGGCCCTAGGCGGCGGGTAGCCTTGATGGCCCATCCTTAGGGCAACCTTGGCGCTGTGGGTTAGATATT